CATTATTTTAATAGTATTAGCACTTTCATTTAAGAGCCTCTATGTGATACAAACACAGGAAACTCGGGTAGCCCCTGCAGCAATCTCTGAGGCACATGGTTTGAATCTACTACCTGTCTGCAGGAGAAGAATAGGCAATTTACTCTCTATCAACGTTACTGCCTCTGAAAACCTGCTCAAGAGTCATTTACAGATTCATTCAATGACAATATACGGCAAACAGGTAAACTTTCGGCTACTTGTCAAAAGGCTGGTAGTTCAAGCCCACTCAAATGTGCTCTGAGAGAGAGTCCTGGTAGTCTGCTCCCAAAATATTCCAACCTTTAAAACGTTGTCTATCTATTCTGTATACATGGGGTCAGAATCTACTAGCCTGCAACTAACACAACAATGGTTTCCTTTACGGAATGCTAACAGCAATATTCTCCACAGAAAACCCAACAGCTGTTATATAACAAATGACTTCAAAAAGAAAGATGAGTTAATATATTAAATTGATTGCTTCTGACTACTTGATTAATTGACATGGCCTGACTTAGCAGCTTAATCTAAGATTATCAAATTACTGTGACAAAGACAGAAGAAGGAAGGTTAGAGACTAAATTAAAACTCTATTTGATATACTGTTTGAATTACAGAGAATTTGCATTTATTGTAGCACACCTGAAAAAATAAAATAATATCACTAGTTACTTTCATATTGAATAAATGTAATGTGATTATTGGTTACATTACCATAAGACATTCAATTGTTATCTGTATTTTGATTAGTATTGTATAATCAATAGTGCCTAAAAATTAAATTTAGCTACAAATAAATTTTGTGGTTCATATTCAAACTAGTAAGCACATAGAAAAAGAATTCTTTTCATTTGAAGACAAGCAGACAATAGCAAAATTTTTTTAAAAAGATGAAATAATTATTTTAATGTTTTTTTCCTAGAATTTTCAATCTCTTACCAAGTTTATTTTTTGTGTGTGTGCCTTAATAATTCAGTGACTAGGGTCATGGGGTAGAGGAGTCAGAGACAATAATGTTTGCACAGATTAGAGCAGGGTTTAGGGCTGTTATACATAGGGTCACTATAAGTCACAGACGACTCGACAGCACATAACAACAACAACATGCCTATTCTTTTTAGACTTGCTTCAAGTACGTTTCTCATTCTGGTTTTAATGTACAGTGATTTTCTTTTTGGTTTAATTTTACAGAGAGTCCAGTTTCTCAGGTTACCTGTTGTTATTGCTGTTGTTTATTCTCAGTATTATTATTGCTAAATATAAAGAAGGAAAGCAGTCTATACTCAAAAGCAGAAAAATTAAGAAGCATTGTTTGCATGAGGCAGAAAACAAAAACAACAGAAGAAATATGTTATGCTAAATAAATATAGCGTGTTAGCATTTCAAGAAAATTGATTCACAGGAAACTGAGGAACAACAAGGAGATCCACCCCAAATCTTACAGAATGTCAGATATACTCAAGATACATACCTTCCAGGAAAAAAAAAATGAAACAAATAAAATGAAGAGCAAAGTCCAGAAAATGGTACACAGTGACACAAAGTATCCAGTGTCACAGTAGAAATCTCACTGTAAAGAAAGAGTAATGAAAGAGCAAAAACCTTCATACAGTCCAAGCCTTACAAATTTTCCACATTGATAACCTTTTCTTAATAACAAAATGAAGAATAAGTAGCAAAATAAAATGTAATAGATAAATCATCCCCTGCTGATAAATAATCATCTCCTGAAAAACTTGACTGGATAGTTTCCTTTTTTGCTTTTTTATTCTATATATATTGCTGTTGTTGTTGTTATGTGCCATCTAGTCACCAGTGACCCATAATGACCCAATGTATAGCAGCTCTGAACTCTGTCCTGTCCTGTCCCAGTCTCACTAGTTCCAACACTCCAACACATCAACCCTCATTGCACCAGTAACTGTATAAATCCATTTTATCTGGGGTCTCCTGTGCTGTCCCTCCACCTTTCCAAGCTTGCTGTTCTTCTCCAAGGACCAGTCTCTCCTGGCCACATTCCCCAAGTATGTAACACAGAGCTTCAAAATCCTCACTTCCAAGGAGAAACTTGGTTTCACCCTTTGAAAGACAGATCTATTTGTTTTCTTTGCAGTCTATAGTACGTTTAAGACTTCTCCAGCACTACAAATCAAAGGCATCAATTCTTCTGTCATCCTTAGTCATTTTCCAGCTTTCTGAAGCATAACAAGTAATTGTGAAGACGCTGGCCTGGATTAGGCACATCTTAGTCTCTAGACTGACATCGTTGCTTTTCAACACTCTGAAGAGGTCCCTAACAGCAGATTTTCCCAATACAATTTGTCGTTTTATTTCCTGACTGCTATTTCCTGACTGCTGGTGTTAAGAGAGTGGATTGTGGAGCCAAGCAAGCTGTAATTATTAACAGCCTCAGTCCCTTCTCCATCCATCATAATGCTGCCAATTGGCCCAGTGGTAAGAATCTTTGTCTTCTTGATGTTGCCTTCAATCTGTACAGTCTTTGACCTTTGACAGCAAGTGCTTCAAGTCTTCTTCAGTTTCAGCAAGCAATGTTGTGTCATCTGAATACACAAACACATACACACACATTTCATTTGACTATGTGAATCATAATGAGTTTGGGCTGACAATGAGAAGGAGTCTAGACCACTTAATTGTGCTCATGTAAAACCTATAAACCTATACCTTGACCAGGAAACTATTGCGCAAAGAGAGCAGAGAAAGCTGCATCGTTTAAAATTAAGAAAGCAGTGTGTCAGTGTTGTGTTCTCTCTCTCCACACCTATATAATCTGTATGCTGAGCAAATTATTGGAGAAGCTGGACTCTATGAAGAGGAGTGTCAAGACTGGAGGGAGACTCATGAATAAACTGCCTTATGCAGAAGACGCAGCCTTGCTTGCTGAAAATGAGGAGGACTTGCAGCAATTGTTGCGGAAGATCGAGGAATTCAGCCTTCAATATGGATTGCATCTCATTGTCAAGAAAACAAAGATTTTCACCACTGGACTAATAAGCATATCATGATGTATGGAGAAGAGACTGAAACGGTCAACAACTTGATCTTGCCAGGATCCACAATCAACATGTTTAGTACCAGCAGTCAAGAAATAAGGGGACACATTGCCCTGGGAAAATCTGCATTTAGGGATCTCTCCAAATTATTAAGGAGTAATGATATCAGTTTGAGGACTAAGGTGCATCTTATCTAGACCATGCTATGCATCAGAGAGCTAGACTGAATAAGGATGACAGAAGAATTGACACCTTTGAGCTGTGGTGTTGCAGAAGAGATCTGTACATACTATAGACAGCTAAGAGAACTAACAGATACATCTTGGAGAAGGTGCAGCCATACAGTTCTTTGAAGGCAAGAATGATAACGCTTTGCCTCACATACTTTGGACATGTTGCTAGGAAGGGCTATTCCTTGGAGAAGGTCATGATGCTGGGAAGGGTGAAGGGTCAGTGAAGGAGAGGAAGATCCTCGATCAAGTGGATTGACACAGTGACTGCTGCAATGGTCTCTTGTACATCAGGAAATGTAATGATGGTGCAGGATAGAGCAGGGTTCAGATCTTTTGTTCATAGGGTACCTATGAGTTGTACTTGACTCAACTGCACCTAACAACAACAGTATGGGGAAAGGGTGGGCAATCTCCACTGGTGTGATTACTGCCTCTGAAAACCCACCAGATCGTCAGCTATGGGTTGGTTCTGACTCAACGTGGCCTAGTGGAAAGAAGCTGTGCTGCAATCCCCAAGGCCTCTAACTGCTCTGCGGGAGAAGGATGGGCTATCTCTGGTGTGATAATTGCCTCTGAAAACTCGCTGGATGGTCAACTATGGGTTGGTTCCAACTCGATGGCACACAACAACTTCATAGATATAGATAGATAGATAGAT